TCATAATTTTATGGATGAGAAAAGCAAAACTCAGAAAATTTCCATTACAAAACCAAACCAAAATGTAACCCAAGGTCTTTTGACTCCCAATCTAGTGGTCTTTCCACTTCACCATGAGTGGCTCACTCATATTAGTTGAGATCTTCAGTAAAAATATTAGTTCTTCTCAGTGTCACAGTAGATAGGAAGGTACCTTGCCATGCATACCGGGTCTGCCATAACCAGAGGGGGCAGTGTAGGGAGCCAGACCAGTCTTGTGAACAAAATGCTGGAGAAATCATGTCTCCTGAAGAGGGAAAAAACCTCAGCAGGCATATTTAAGGCATCTCAGGCACAGAGAAGCTAGGCTGGCAGTAGTATCTAATCCCACAGAGCAAAACCTCTATGGTGAAAACTGGGTTTATAGCCTAGTATATACCAGATGACCTGTGCATTGCAATTGGATGCTGATAGTTTTGTCATCATAGTCTCCTAAATCTTGCACTACTTCTTCAGCAGGCTTCACATTCTGTCATGTTTTTCTTCTTTTTCCTGTCTGCTAAACTTGAACAGTTTAACAATGAGGTCATTTTATAATTTCACCCACCCCTACATGCAAAAGCCTTGCAAGTTTTATTCCTGAGCCCAACTATTATCCTTTGGTCCTGTAATTATTTATCCAATGGACATGACCCATTCCTACCCACCAAAGGAATGTGTATTGGGATTTTTCCCCTAAACTCCACATCCACCGAGATCAAGATCACTTCCTAGGAAGACACCAGTAAGATCCGGAAGTCTCGAAGGAGGAGACATAGGAAAGATATCCCAGGTCAGCAAGCAAGCTGATGATTGCACAGAGATTAGAGAAAAGGCATATGGGGAACGGTGCAGGGACTGACCTGACAGGCTCAGAGGCTGCAGTGAGTGACTTAAGAGGGTGAGAAGCTGACTGTCTACACTGGGACCTCAGAAGGAAGGGCGTAGACTTTCAAGAGGAAGCGATTGAACTTGATCCAGTGAACAACCCAAAATAGATGAGGGACAAAATAACTTATATTGGGAAGATTAATAGTACTATGCAGGGCCATGGGAAATGAACGAGGAGAGCATACCAAAATGTTAAGGAGCAAGGGAGGCACAAAGTGCCTGCACGGCACAAAGCAAGAAGAAATTAAGGAGAAATCATTTTTACTGACCTTGGTGGCTGAAGATACAAAAGATGGTAGAAAACGATAAGCTTTATTACTTTATTCTAGTTTTTTTGTGTTTTTTTTTTATTTTTGTTTTTGTTTTTGAGACGGAGCCTTGCTCTGTCACACAGGCTGGAGTGCAGTGGTGTGATCTCGGCTCACTACAACCTCCACCTCCCGGGTTCAAGTGATTCTCCTGCCTCAGCCTCCAGAGTAGCTGGAATTACAGGCACCCGCCATCATGCCTGGCTAAGTTTTGTATTTTTGTAGAGATGGGGTTTCACCATGTTTTCCAAGCTGGTGATCCACCCGCCTTGGCCTCCCAAAGTGTTGGGATTACAGGCGTGAGCCACCACACCCAGCCTGTTCTAGTTTTATAAATACAAAATTAATTCACACCCGTTGAATCAGAATATCTGAGGGTGGTAGCAAGTGTGTGTGTTTTAAAGGCTCTGCAAACTTACCATAGAGAATCACTGGCCTGTGCAGCAAAGCAGATTCTGGGCTTAGTACCTTTCCGTAAGCTTTCTAGTGCTTCTGAGTCAGTCAGTAGGTTTAGCCCATTGCTAGGAGATGATGATGATACACACCAAGAAGCAGCTAACACTAATCAAACACTCATGCACAATGAAATGCCTAACTGTGGTTCTGACTGCAAGAACAAGAGTTAGTGGAGGTGGGTGATGATCCTGGACTGGAAGCTGGAGAAGGCTTCCTAGAGGAACTGTGATATAGCCCAGACCTTAAAGAATGGGTGGACTGGAGCTAAAAATAGACAGGTGGACCAAGGAGCTGGTGAAAGTGGACGAAGCATTGTGCAGTATAGTTTTAAGCAGGAGGGTGTGGGCATTATGTTTAAATAGCAGAGGAGGTCGACAACTTCCCTAGCCTTCCTCTGAATTGGCCCCTTGTATGAGGCTGGAGACCCTTGCAAGGGTCATGGGGCAGGCACATTTTTCCTTTGTTTTTCCCATCCCTTCCCTTTGCAGCTCAGCCACAGACAAGCTTTATTCCCTCACACTCCTCATCTGTGAATGCACACTAAATTCATTCATGCTAAGAAACAGATGACACATAGTCCTTTGCATTAGTCTGGCAAGCTAATAAACCTTTATATAGTAATATCACTTGTAGAAACCTCATTTCATTCTTCCTGCAGCACTATGGAATGGGGACACCAGAGGTGGTCCTCATATTGCAGATAAGAAAAGGAAACCCCAGAGAATCCAACCTCAAAACCGTAGAGCTACTAAGGGGAGTATTTAATTGGGGGACTTGAACACAGTTTTCCTTCTGCCACCCTGTTCTGCAACTTGCTGCAGTATTTGCATTTCAACAAGGATCAGAGCCCAAGGCACGTGGGTCTAACTGAGTACTTCAGACATCAACCTGTAGACAGGAGATTGGTTCTTTCAGTGGAGCTCTGAATCACATTACGTAGGTAACTGTCTTTGTCTTCACATTATCTGTCAGTTGTGTGATCACAGGCAAGTTGGAGAAAATTGTGAGCTTCACTTGACCTATGAAATGGAAACAACTCCATCTACTTTATAGGGTTTTTGAGAATTTCCTGAAATACCACCTGGACAATGTCCTTGCTACACAGTGAGCCTCAAGAAACCTCACTCTCTTTGTCTTCCGCATTTTATCTACACATAAGGCACGCTCTGCTACATCAAAACCACAGGCTCACCCAGCCTACCTGTCTTTGCTCTCTCTTTGCTTATGCTCTTAGCCTTTTCTCTCTTTCCCTCTACCTTTGTCCAGCCACACCTTCCTACCTTCACTTCTTAAACAAGCCAAGCATTTTCCCTCCTCAATCCCTCATGTGAGTTGGTTCCTCTGCTGGCTCGTGCCTCTTTGCTTCTCCTCCTCCAGGTGTCACCCCAAGTGTTACTTCTTCAGGAAGCACTGAAGTAGGTTCTTCCTATTATTCTTTCTCACTAGGTCCTGTAACTTTCCTTTGTCATACTGAATACAATTTGTAAGTATGCATTAATCCTGTTTGTAGGCTTAATGCCTGTCTTCTCCACTAGACTGTGAACTCCCACAGGACAAGAACGTGTCTATTTATTCGGCCACTATTCTCCATGGTACCCAATACAGAATCTAGCACATAACACATATTCCATAAGTATTTGTCAATTGTGTGTTGGATGAGTACTGGTCTCATCTCTCCCTCTTAGGATGCCCTCCTACCATTTCCTCAGCAATTCACATAGTACATTCCACACACAAAAAAAAATTTTACCATGCCCACATTCTCTGACCTTTTCCTTAATTTTCTTTTCCCAACACTTATTCATACATTATCATAATTGGGTAAAGTTCTCTGGTTGTTTCCTGATTCCCTAATCACATTATCAGTTTTCTAAGGACTAAAACTCTTTGGGGATCTTTTTTGGAATCTCCTATAAACCTAGTGTAATAGTTGAAAATGCTTTGGGAATTCAGTGATTTCTCGATGAACGAATGAATAGATCAATCATTCAATCCTAGTATATCCCTTTTGCACAAGGAAAATCTTCACATAGCAATACAGAGATATCATTGCAGCAAAACAATTTCTAACCATGATTCATTTCTATCTATATAGCTTCCTTCTTGGGTTACTATTTTGAGTTTCAATAAGAGGCAAACAATCTTATCTTGAAAGGGGGATTGGATTTATTTTTAATAAGAAAGGCTGAATTGGGAGCTTGCATTTTCCCCAAAAATTTAATAACAGCACTAGTAAAGCCCTAGACTCCTCAGCTGGCCTTATTTCAGGTATATGAGAACAGAGCTTCCAGGTAAGCTTCTTTCATGATCTAAGAGTGAGACCAATACCACCAAACCTGTCTAAATTCATTGACAGCCAGGGGAGGTCACACAGCAAAAGCATCTAGTCTGAACATGTTTCAGAACCCAGGACTGGGCAGAGGACATGGAGGGAAACATCAGGTTCCCCAAGGCCATTGTCCTCAAACATGTGACATTCTGATACTTACCACTGATAACTTCAGCAAGTATCACTTTGATCTCACCCCCTTCTACTCACAACTAAAACAAAACAAAAACATATGTAATTAAAATATGTCATTGCTATGCTCAAAATGATAACTTATGAACTGGGATTTCAAATTCACCTTGTTATTCTGAAGCAGAATCTTCAGTTTATGATTGCCCTGCTGGTAAGCCTCAAGTTGCTCTTTTATTTTTTTTCTTTTTTGAGACAGGTCTTCTCTGTCACCCAGGCCAGAGTGGAGTGGCATGATCTCGGCTCACTGCAACCTCCGCCTCCCGGGTGCAAGCGATTCTCCTGACTCAGCCTTCCTAGCAGCTGGGATTACAGGTGCCCACCACTGCGCCCAGCTAATTTTTGCATTTTTGGTAGAGACGAGGTTTCACCATCTTAGCCAGGCTGGTCTTGAACTCCTGACCTCAGGTGATCCACCTGCCTTGGCCTCCCAAAGTACTGGAATTACAGGCTTGAGCCATCACGCCTGGCCATGTTGTTCATTCTATCCATATTCTTTGAATCATTTTATACACACACACACACACTATATGTTACATGCATTTTAATTTACTTTGACAATAATCTAACAGGTTCTGTCTAGTTAGCATCTTTTCCCCTACAGTTAGTATTTGATCTTATAACATGGGCCAGGAAAAGAAAGGTAAGTTTTGCTAAATATACCTGTTACATCATGACAATTATCAGAGTTGGTGTGGGATCTGCTCTTTGTGCAGTGTCGCTTATCACCTGTCTTCCACCTCTGCTTAGCTCTGTGACAACAAACAGAGCCTCTAAGAGATGACTGCTGATGAGTCCTTCTATCGCAGGCTGCAGCAGTCCTGAAGGTTGATGGAGGGCCATGCTATTCAAACAGCAGGCGTGGCTGAGACAGAAGCTCCTGGTGCTGGGAAGCCTTGCCGTTGGGAGTCTCCTGTATCTAGTCGCCAGAGTTGGGAGCTTGGATAGGTGGGTGCTTAAACACATGCTTATACCCCTGTGACTTTAAGTCTTGATGTAAACTTCTTTAGGACATAATTTTAAGTCTATCCACTTGTTTTTCTCCCTCAAAATTCCCAGGAAACATGCTTTTCTGCAGTATTGATTTTGATTTATTGAGCCTTTAAAAGAGAGAGATCCAAGTTGCTCAAACCAAGATGTTCTGTCAGGATCCATTTGTATTCCGTGTGCATTGACACTTGTTTTCAGGGAAGGGATAAAGCTGTGCACAGTAAAACTGTCATTTACTAGAGCTCAGTGTGGTCTGCGTGCATCTGGTGTTGACCTCTACCTGTAGCAAAACAGTGATGATGTATCTATGTATCTTCCTTTTGAAATTTATGAGTGGACACTTAATGTGCTATCAGGAGCATTAAAATTATGTATGAGTCTCTAAAGGAGCTCATCAAGTTTGCAATCCATTGCCCTGGAAAGATGGCTGCAGGCATGGGGAGTTTTAACTATGCTAATTAGCTCTGGTTTTCAGGGCCTGAATGCACCAGACAAGGAGGCTGTTGCTCAGAATAATTGCCCAGAAAGCAATGGGAAATCCATGGAGAGAAAATTACAGTGCTAGGTCTTAGCTCTAAACAGACAAACAGTTGAGAGGTATTGAACTTGCAGAAGTCCCAGCAACATCAGCTGGCTTCACATTAAATGTTTCTGGTATGTTCTGTGTCTAGTCTAACGGGCAAGAACAGAGAAGTTAATTTCTGAAATGTGAAGCTTCCTTTTTTGCCCTTCAAAAAAAAATTTTTTTTTTAATTGGAGTTTCGTTCTTGTTGCCCAGGCTAGAGTGCAATGGTGTAATCTCGGCTCATTGCAACCTCCTCCTCCCATGTTCAAGCTATTCTCCCGCCTCAGCCTCCCAAGTAGCTGTGATTACAGCCATGTGCCACCACACCTAGCTAATTTTGTATTGTTAGTAGAGACAGTTTCACCATGTTGGCCAGGCTGATTTTGAACTCCTGACCTTAGGAGATCCACCTGCCTCAGCCTCCCAAAATGCTGGGATTACAGGCATGAACCACTGTGCCTGGCCGGCCCTTTAAAATTAATTCTTGCACTGGAAAGACTGAAGTGTGTTCTCTGTGAGTTCAGTTCTCACCATCAGTGAAAACACATACAAACTTAAAAATGAAAATCTCTTCCTTTCAGTTTTCTTTTCCTTCCAAAGTTTAAGCTAATCTGTAGACCTTATCTCTTAGATATTTAGAAATAACATAGCAGTGGTCCTTGTTTTCCTTCAGTTGCTGTCATTTTGACTGGTAAAGTGAACTCCTTTGATGCTTCTCAATTCAAAATTGCTGAGTAATTGTCCCACTCACTAGTTGTTACCTACCTGAAAGTGTAATCAGAGCTTCTCCCCGACTTCCAGCAGTTTCCTAAAGTAGCACTTGATGATTAATGAGAAGCCTTGAGGTGGTGCCATTGGCCTACCTCTGTAATGGAACTTTTATATCCAGCCCTTCCCAACTGACCTTTAATTAGCTTCCAATCATTTACCTTTTACTTAGTAATTGATCTAATGATCACTAATGCATTATTATTTAGTTGACGATTCTTTTCATTTTCTTAACTCTGTCTCTAGTCTCTAAGGGGATAGCTTTTATTCGGAATTGAATGGTTTGGTGGGCTTTCTAAAAGCCTCTCACTTGAGACTTTGAGATTACGTCTGAAGGTAACACAGGCTTATGTAGGCCCACCCTCCACTAACTGAAGACCCTGCTTTCTGGGAGGGAGGCAGATATTACTTCTTCCATCCCTTCCAATCCTAAACCTGTATGATTTTTCAGTCTGGGACCCACATTCAGAATCTATGCTGTCAGAAGTGGGAAAGAATAGGATATTTTCTCATATTTTCACATCCTATCTTGAGTTAGGGAGTCCAAAAGGCGACTGTTCTGCAGCGTGTGATCTCCCAGGGTAGAAGGTAGAAAAAGGAAGGAAGGAAAGAAGGAAAATGACCCTTTCTACAAGTAGGGAAATTCCATTTGACCTCAAACAAAGCAGAGACTATCTATGTCAGCCACTCTCAGCCAGGGTACTATGAGAGAATTAAATCCTACAAAGGAGAATTTGAGTGACTGTTTACTCAATTCTTGCAAGGCTGGTACTGACATCATTCTAGGTGCTTAGAACAGAAATCCATCAATGGATGCCTTATGGAATTAGAGCTTAATTCTCAACCAGAACCCAAGAAGAACTGAAAGATGAACTTGTAATATTCCAATCAGTGTCACAATTAAAAGCATCTTTGCCTATGTATCTACTGATAATTTTATATCCTCTATTTAAAGCCCTAGTACATTAATCTCATTAACAAGTGTAAAAACAAAATTCATGTTTGTCTAAACTATTAACTGGGTTAAATCCTGTTTTTTAAAAGCTGTCTAGGCCAGGCTCAGTGGCTCACGCCTGTAATCCCAGCACTTTGGGAGGCCGAGGCAGGCAAATCACGAGGTCAGGAGTTCAAGACCAGCCTGGCCAACATGGTGAAACCTCGTCTCTACTAAAAATACAAAAATGAGCTGGGCATGGTGGCACATGTCTGTAATCCCAGCTACTCAGGAGGCCAAGCAGGAGAATCTCTTGAACCAGGAGACGGAGATTGCAGTGAGCCAAGATCATGCCATTGCACTCCAGCCTGGGCAACAGACCAAGACTCCATCTCAAAAAAAAAGAAAAAAAAAGATTCTCTATATTTTCACACTTTCCACAATGAGCATGAATTGTTTTAAAAATCATGAAAGGAAACATCACGAAAAGTAATATATATTGATATTTCTCCTTAAGCAATATGATAGATAGTTGTTTAAATAACACAGACCAAGACCATGCTCCTCAATTCTGCAGAACAGATTGGGTGTATTAGTCCGTTTTCACACTGCTATAAAGACATACCTGAGACTAGGTAATTTATAAAGAAAAAAGGTTTAATTGACACACAGCTCTGCATGGCTGGGGAAGCCTCAGAAAACTTACAATCATGGCAGAAGGCAAAGAAGAAGCAAGGCACGTCTTACATGGTGGCAGGAGAGAGAGAGAGCTTGCAGGGGGAGGTGCCACACAGTTTTAAACCATCAGATCTCATGAGAACTCCCTATCATGAAAACAAGGGGGAAATACACCCCCATAATCCAGTCACGTCCCATCAAGCCCCTCCTCTGACATGTAGGGATTACAATTCCGGATGAGATTTGGGTGGGGACACAGAGCCAAACCATATCACTGGGCATGACCTTGAGGTTGTTTCTCATCTCAGAAAACAAGAAAGATGCCATACGGTCTCTTGGGAAGAGCAAGCAACAGCCTCATTGCCACAGAGGGGGAGATGCAGATTCCAAATTATTAGAATAACTGGAAGCTTTCAGGTGTAAGAATTGGTTTAACAGCCTTTTTGACTGATATTAATTCCTTTTACCAAGAAGGCTAAAATGCCCTCACAGATCAACCTAGGGAAAGTATAATGAATTTCAGTTCAATTCAGACTATACCTAAATGGAAACTCAATTTGCTAACCATATATGTTAGCCATGACAAATTAAACGGTCACCATCGTCTACTATCATTGTGACTGTTACCACATCTTTCTCCCTGAGAAAAGCAGAGATGGTCGTTCACTATTCAGGATAATATTGAAGTGAAAATCCTCCTTTCTGGCTATATCCATTGCATTCCTTCCTTTATGAGCTTGAGTTCCTGATTTTAATGGGCTTGGCAATGAGGGCTTGAGGTTTCTGGCCCTGTCAAGGTCTTGTTGATGCCTGGTCCCAGGTGTGGTTGGTGATATACAGCACTTGCTGATGGCAATTGGGTTTGATCCTATATTCAGCAAAGTGGAAATATAATCCTGACCTCTTTAGATAGAAAGAGAAAGAGAGGCAAAAGAAATATTATATTCTTCTGGCTGTCCTCAAGGCCAAGCAAGGGCAGAGAGTCTCAGAATGAAAAGCTCAGCAAGTTCCAAGATTGGAATTTTGCAGGTTGATGATGCAAACAGCCCAGGGCAGAAACTGGGACCTCCTTTCAGATTATATCTCAAAGAGTTTCAACAGCCATGTGAGTGCTGCCGGGCTGCAAGAAAATAATACCACACGAAACATGAAACACGTGGCCTCCCTGCTACCCTTCCGCCCCCCAGCTGAAGATTATAATCTCCTGCCTTTCACTTTTTCTTAATGATTTTAACTGGTGAGCTGTTAAAAAGCTATTAGTATGGCTGGTGTCACTTGTCTATCCTGTACTGCGAACAGAGGTACGCGCCGTAGTCAATTAAGTGCTTGGGGAATAAAAAATTTTAAGGAGCACTAATAAAAAAATCTCATCAATTATGTGTGCTCCATTTAATACATGGTTGCTTAAAATAAAATTTCCCAAACATATGTTCATTATGGATTGCAGCAGGCTGGGAATCAGTGGCTTTATTTATGCATTTAAAGTCTTGGTCTGACTGGGGAACCAGGAAAATGAGAAGTTAGCTGCAATGAGCTTAAAGTGTCTCTGTCTTGCTTGCAGGCTACAACCCATTTGCCCCATTGAAGGTCGACTGGGTGGTGCCCGCAGTCAGGCTGAATTCCCACTCCGCGCCCTGCAGTTTAAGCGTGGCCTGCTACACGAGTTCCGGAAGGGCAACGCTTCCAAGGAGCAGGTTCGCCTCCATGACCTGGTCCAGCAGCTCCCCAAGGCCATTATCATTGGAGTGAGGAAAGGAGGCACAAGGGCCCTGCTTGAAATGCTGAACCTACATCCGGCAGTGGTCAAAGCCTCTCAAGAAATCCATTTTTTTGATAATGATGAGAATTATGGTAAGGGCATCGAGTGGTATAGGAAAAAGATGCCTTTTTCCTACCCTCAGCAAATCACAATTGAAAAGAGCCCAGCATATTTTATCACGGAGGAGGTTCCAGAAAGGATTTACAAAATGAACTCATCCATCAAGTTGTTGATCATTGTCAGGGAGCCAACCACGAGAGCTATTTCTGATTATACTCAGGTGCTAGAGGGGAAGGAGAGGAAGAACAAAACGTATTACAAGTTTGAGAAGCTGGCCATAGACCCTAATACATGTGAAGTGAACACAAAATACAAAGCAGTAAGAACCAGCATCTACACCAAACATCTGGAAAGGTGGTTGAAATACTTTCCAATTGAGCAATTTCATGTCGTCGATGGAGATCGCCTCATCACAGAACCTCTGCCAGAACTTCAGCTCGTGGAGAAGTTCCTAAATCTGCCTCCAAGGATAAGTCAATACAATTTATACTTCAATGCTACCAGAGGGTTTTACTGCTTACGGTTTAATATTATCTTTAATAAGTGCCTGGCGGGCAGCAAGGGGCGCATTCATCCAGAGGTGGACCCCTCTGTCATTACCAAATTGCGCAAATTCTTTCATCCTTTTAATCAAAAATTTTACCAGATCACTGGGAGGACATTGAACTGGCCCTAAAATAATATGTCATACAACACTATGTGTTGTGCCTGGAGACACACAATGTCTCCTGTAGATTAAAATATGCACTTTTCCTAGGCAGAGCTATCCAAGTCATTTTTCCATGTATACTTGTACATACGCAGTGTGTGACCAAATATAAAATCAGTTCTTTTTCTACTGAAAATTTACAAAAAAAAAAAAATGCTGTCTGCATAGTCACATCTTTTAAGCTATTTACAAAAAAGAAGAGGTGGTGGTATGGGGGGAAAGTGACTTCAGCTGTTCTCAAAGAATTAGTCTTCCTTTGATTCAGAATCTGTCACCCACCATTTTCATAGATTTAAGCCAAAAGATAAATGTGTGAAAATGTACCAATGGCTGTGAAGCTTCAGGAAGTAGAGATCCAGTGATGCTTTTTTTTTTTTTTTCCTAAGGGAAAGCTGGCTCTTTAATTCAGATGCTGAATTGGTGCCATGAAAACAGAAAATGCTATTTTCTTATTATTTAAAAGAATGTCTTATCTCATAAAATTGACATTGTCCAAAGTTCCTATGGTGATTGTGCACTATTGTTTTCTCGTATGGACCATGGTGTCACTTATAGCATGTCAATCACACGTTGGAAAGTCAAGTCCTTTTACTTCCACGTTGTACGTCAACAGAGAGAAATGTCATGTACATAATGTATATTGTTGTAAATACTGGTTTCACACTAAGTAATTCTATTTTGTAAACTGAATATGGCTATTTAATTTATTGTGAAAATTAAATTTATTGTGGTATTTAAAAATGGAATGGATTAAAATTACTCTATGTGCAATTTTTTTTTAACTCATTTTGTTTTACATGCCCCCTGCTGGCTTCCAAAATGGAAGCTGTTTACGTGCATATGAGAGCACTTGGAAAGATGTGCTTCCCTGCTGGATTTCTGTACCCTTGTGAAAATGTATTTATGAAGTGAGGTTGAGTATATTAAAAAAGAAAAACCTCAACCATCTGGAAATCAAGTATAATAGCCACCTCAAAGAATCCTAGTGCTGCTCTGCTACAACTTTGTAACAATTAATTTACTTGCAGTTGCTGCTGCTCAGGGCAAGAGACAAGGGATATTTTAACAGAATCCAGGCATAGAAGAATCACCATTTTATTTGAACCTCTAATCAGAGTCAGACCGGTAGAGAAATTAAATAAAATAAGATTAGAAAACTCTGTACTGAAAGCTGCTGATGCTTCCAAAATGAATACAAGATCTCAGAACTCTCCCTGTTAGATGAAAATATATCAATTTGCTCAGAAAGGATTCAGTTGCCTAGTGTTGCCATTACTAACATAAACATATGGCTCATATTTCCATCCAGAGAAATTAATGCTAAATTGGTGCCTCACTAACATCAGATACACTGTATTATGCTTACATATATTCAGTAAAATGTGGAAAGGGGTATTAACAACAACAACAAAAAGATGAATTTTTTTTTTTTTCTCACAGTCACAGTTGCTAATCCAGTGGGAGATATTTTAGAGTTTTGTTCAACATCACAGTGAGAGTGCCTAGGGAAACCAGCAAATTACAATGGATTCCCCTTTGATTGTAATAAGTGTTGATTTTCCCCATGAGTTGTTTATCCTGTCCAGTGATTTGATGGTGAACTTTTCTAAATAAATAGCCCTTTCCCCTCCGGTGTCGGTATATATTGCTTCTCAAGTCACTGCCTTGGTAATCATCTCTATTGTTTGAATTAGCAGTGATGCTGTTCTCTCAGCATGAAACAGGCATGACACCAACACGTGCTGGCAGGCCAGCTCCTCCCTCACTGTGGGATGACTCTAGAGTGACAGCCTCAGGTCTAAATGTCAGCCACTTCTCCCCTAAGCCATGAATGAAGTCAATATAAGGATCCTGCTGTCAGATTTCTCTGGGCCTCAACTCTCTGCTAACCATCAGTATAAACTCTTTGAATACAGTGTTCAAGGACACAATCACTGTATTATCATTAGTTTCATAGAAGTATTCCTAGAGCGCTATACAGCCAATATGATTTTGTCCCAGTAACTGTCAAATTATGCTCCCTTGGAACACTGATGTTTCAAAAACTCAGACCAGGTATTCCATCAGTAAAATTACAAAATGGTCATCTTTTCCCAGATTAATAGAGGAATAAAAAATAAGTTAATAAATTGAAATTTCTCAGTAATCATCTTTTCTGTTACCAATTTTTCTTACACTTTGCTACTGCTACCAATAGCGTACATCAGACTTTATTCTAAGATTCTATTTGACTTATGCCAACTTTTATCTCAATAAGCCAGTATTTCTTCATATTTGGGGGCAGGAGGAGGGAAGCACTGTGATTTCTAGTTGTTCCACTTCCTGAGTAAGTTTGAGAATTGTTTTAAATCTTCAAGCCTCCCCACGGAGATTTAAAGCAAGGGCCTATGTTGGGAGAATTTTTTGGGTGGCAGGTTTTATTTCAGTAAAACAACAGTCACAGCCACTGCTGATTGAGCTAGGTAGGGAGAAATAAAAATGCTATGATTTAATAGCATACCACTCGTGGAGATTTTAAACCTGCTTGTTTAGAAAAATGTTTCCTGTTGTTATCAGACAGACAACAGAACTCTAGAGAAATCTTCACCTCGTTACAATAGCTCCACTAGGGCTCTCTTTAATAAGTTACGTCTTTTATGTCATAAACACCTTGCATGTTTTCAAGAGGCACAGTGGAACCATACAGTTTTGTGAAACAGTTCTAGCTGCAAAGAGGAAAATTGTTTAAGCAATGGCAGGGTTTCTGCTGGACCATAAAGCAGAAATTACACCTTTCCTGGAAGCCAAGGAATTCCAGTTACAATTATACAAATAGCCCAAGAGAACAGAGAGAGACTAGGGATCGGAGAGATTTTAGATTTTAGAACAGTAAAATAAACCCACAGATACACATCCTCAAATTCCAAGTCTATCTCCTACCCACCTGAAACCACTGCATGTAAAACCTTGATTAATTAAGGCACTAAACTTTTCTTAATAATTGCAATATAGGATAACAGAAGCCCAAGACATTTTGGTTCTGAGTTAATATATATGATCAAGCAAAGGCTTGTAAATTCCTCTGAGGTTTATAATCCCATCTGATCTTAGATTTGGTAATCTTTACGTTGATGGAGCAGTGAGAAGTCATTAATTGGCAGCCCAGTTCCTCCTCATGAGTGTTTCATGGGCATGCTTCCTGGAATTCTGCCCCTGAAATGAAGGCTTTTCTGGAAGACAAGCTTCAAGGCCTGTGGGGGGCATCACTGGGACACTGCAGATGCGCTGCTGCTCAGGGAAGGTGAGAACCAGGGACAAGTGCAGTCCAAATTCCATCCCTGCTGAGATGCTTTTGCTTGGTCCAATAAGCTGCTTGCTAAATCAAATTGCCTTCATAAGCCTAATTTGAGAATTTTCCAGCAATGGAGAATTTCAAATGATTGTAGTATCTTCCCACTGAAATATTGCATACTCTTTCCACACACTCAGCAGCCATTTTCCACTAAAAATAGTCTACAGTCTAGGAGAAAGAGAAAAACACTCCCCCTCAAAATTACTAAATACAGCAAAATCTTAGCAATTTGGGCTAAGAAGGTGAAAATATAAAATATTTTAAAACAAATTCATTGCAATTATTGCCAAGTAGACAAACCATCAAACTGGGAGGCTGAGTGGGCAGATCACGAGGTCAGGAGTTCGAGACCAGCCTGACCAACATGGTGAAATCCTGGCTCTACTAAAAATACAGAAATTAACTGGGTGTGGTGGTGCGTGCCCGTAATCCCAGCTACTCAGGAAGCTGAGGCAGGAATATCGCTTGAACTTGAGAGGCAGAGGTTGCAGTGATGCAGTGAACCAAGATTGCACCACTGCACTCCAGCCTGGGTGTCAGAGCAAGACTCCATCTCAAAAAAAATAAAAAAAAATAAAAAATATCCAATTGTGCCTGCTTTGCCAAATCAAAGCCTCATAATTGGCATATTGGATTTTTTTCCAAATTGGTATTATTCAAGTATTTCAAAATAGTCTGTTCTCTTAAGCAGGTTATTCAAGCCCCCTAGCATCTGTCAATTTTTATAGCACACCTTTCTTTTATAGCTCGTGTAAGAGTGAAATTTTGTCCAAAATATGATCATTTGGTAAGGTTCTAATTAACGATACCTTACTATACATCTTATATAAACAGTTTCCTTACATTTGGGCTTTCAAAAAATTCTTTTCAGTTACATTTTATTGCACCTTTTAAGAATAATAGTGCTATTTCACAATGATTAGAAACGGATTGAGGAGTTGAAAGGCAGAACTGAACTGAGAGCAATATGCAACTCCCACAGAAACACTTGATTGGTATTCCAAAAACAAGTGTCTGTTATTTAAAGGTAGTTCAGTTGAAAAGCAGTAAGTACCTTTTCAGTCATATCAGGTAGGCCGTAGCATGATTGGTACTTGATCAGGTTAGATCTATTGATGAATTTATGAACCACATCAGTCTACCAGGTTTGCGGGAGGTGTTGGTGAAAGGTTTTATTCTTTCTAAGGATATGTGTCACCCTCTCTCAAAAATAGTCTGTCAAGAAGGTGTCTCCCAACAGATGTGTAGCACCATTCCAAAGAGGTAGCTTATCTTACACGTATCTAAATGCACGTGTCTCTGCTTTGCATTTCCATTTCTTTGATGACACCAGAGAACATCCTTAAGGCCAACTCTAAAACTGCCTGTTTCCTTGGTAAAGCCTCAATAAGGCTCACATAAAGGTTTGGGCATAGATCATAAAAGAAGTTGTAATTGTTTCATGGTCAGGTAATCTAACACTAGGTCCTGTAAATAAACTTAATAAACTCTTTAAAGGTGAGACTCTCTGGCAAGGCCAGATGACAATGTTGCCATACCAAGTAGAACTAGTGAGTCACAGTTCAGAAACTGTAGGAGAAATAAATAAATAACTCAGCCTGGAAGAATCAGAGAAGGCTTCCATGAGGCCACATTTGAAGATCATAACATCTCATCAGGGAGACAAACAGGAAAAACATACTCCAGGATGAGGGAAACACTACAGCAAAAGCACAAAGTGTGAAAAAGACTAGCAAATCCAGTATAGCTGGAGAGTAGGTAACAAGAGAAGGTGGAATGTAAGAATGGAAACTGCAACAGAGCTTCCTAGGCCCTGAGCGACTCCTTCCACCATAGCCCTGAGGGGACCCTGCTAGGTAGCAGGCCAGGCCCATCACGCTGAGTCTACACCCAGCTGATTCTTAGAGGTTGAGGGTTCAATATTGGAAAAGATATGATAAAATTAATAAGCCGAAGGTTATCTTTCAAAGAGAAAAAAAATCAAATGATTGGTGCCTAAAGAATCACCATTTTCCTTCCCATTCTGCTTTACTCTTCTCTTTGCTTCTCTCACTGTTTGCTTCTTTCACTTCTCTTCATGACCAGTAGCTTTGCTGCAGCTGATGGGATCCTCCATATTTGGCTCACTTTTTTTCTGAGGTTGAGGAAAAAGTGTTTCTGTGGGTATACTGACCGTGGAAGAGTCATATTGTCTCCTTGCCACTGGGCTTCTCACCAAAACTTCACCCATCCTGGGACTGTAACAGGAGACATGGGAATGAAAAGAAAAACAAGCACAATATTCTCCTGCAAGATAGGTGTAAGAGTGTTCTCAAAAAAAAAAAAAAAAAAAAAAAAGCCAGGAAACATATTCATTTCATTACAAATAAAGCAAATAAAATCATGCATCACTTAATGACAGGGATATGTTCTAAGAAGTGCATCATTTGGTAATTTTGTAATTGTGTGAACAACGTAGAGTGTACTTACACAAACCTGGATGGTATAGCCTGCTAGACACCTAGGCTATATGGTTTAGCCTATTGCTCCTAATCTATAAGCCTGTACGGCATGTTACTATATTGAATTCTGCAGGCAATTGTAACACAATGATAAAGATCTGTCTATCTAAACACATCTAAACATAGAAAAGGAACAGTGCAAATATGGTATAAAACATTTTTATATGCTACGCTTGTGGAGTTAGGGCATTTATCATGAATAGAACTTGCAGAACTGGAAATTGCTCTGGGTGTCAGTGAGTAAGTGGCGAGTAAATGTGAAGGCCTAGGACATTGCTCTACACTACTGTAGATTTTATATATAAATACTGTACACTTAGGCTACAATAAACTTATAAAAGAATATTTTTCTTTCTTGAGTAATAAATTAACATTAGCTTACTGTAATTTTTACTTTATAAAATGTTTAATTTTTTCTTTTTGACTCTTTGGTAATAACACCCACCTTAAAACACAAATAACACTTTGTACAGCTGTACAAAAATATTCTCTTTCTTTATAACCTTATTCTATAAGCTTTCTTCTACTTCTAAATTGTTCCACTCTTTCACTTTTTAAGCTTTATTTGTTAAAAACTAAGACATAAACACATACATTAGCCTAGGCCTACACAGAATAAGGATCATCAACATCGCTGTCTTCCACCTCCAGATCTTGTTCCATGGCAAGGTCTTCAGGGGCAGTAACAGGCATGCAGCTGTCATCGCTTATGATAACAATGCCTTCTTCTGGAATGCTCCAGAAGGACCTGCCTGAGGCTGTTTTCCAGTTATTTTTTTTTAATAAGTAGAAGGAGAACACTCTAAAAT